TCTCGGTGAATTTGAATTCCTAATACAAAAGAAGCCTCACCAAGATCTTTCATTTCAAAATTCTTTGAAAGAAATCTCTTAGTTTCGTGTAATAAGCCTATATCGTTAGTATCAAGCAGTATGTCATCAACATACAAGACCAGGAAAATATGCTTACTCCCACTGAACTTGTGGTATATACAATCATCACTGACGTTTGGTTGAAAACCAAAAGATATAATGACTTTATGAAACTTGTGATACCACTGACGAGAAGCCTGTTTGAGCCCATAGATGGATTTCTTTAATTTGCAAATCATTTTCTTTGAATCTCCGGAAACAAAGTTTTCTGGTTGCTCCATATAGATTGATTCCTCAATGTCACCATTGAGAAATGCAGTTTTTACATCCATCTGATGAAGCTCAAGATCAAAATGTGCCACTAATGCCATTATTGTTCTAAAAGAGTCGTTCGAGGATACCGGAGAGAAAGTCTCTTTATAGTCAATTCCTTTCTTTTGAGTGTAGCCTTTAGCAACAAGACGAGCTTTAAACCTTGTAACATTGCCCTTTGAATCCCTCTTGATTTTAAATATCCATTTACAACCAATGGGTTTAATACCTTCAGGCAATGAGACTATCTCCCAAACGTCATTGTCACTCATAGACTTCATCTCATCTTTCATGACATTAATCCATTCTTGAGAGTTAGAACTTTCCATGGCTTGACGGAAGTTGATTGGATCATCTTCTGCAAAACCAACATCCGATTCTTGTTCTTGGAGGAAGACAATTATTTCTTCCACCAATTCCCAATTTTCCTCATGTTCTAGGAGAAATACAATATAATCATCCGGAATTGCGCTTCTCCTCTCTCGAGTGGATCTCCTTAATGGCACCTCAGGTTCTTGAGGTTGTTGAGTTTGATCCTCATTAACAAATTCAGGTACTTGATTGGGGATGTTTTCGAGATTGTCATGAACTGGAGTTGTTTCTTGAACATCATTAGGAATAAACATATCTTGATCATGTTCAATGACAACTGAAGGAAGAGTAACATGTTCTTCCTCAAAGACAAAATCTCTAACCTTATCTCCCCATCCCCCAAACTCAATATCCTCAAAGAGCCGGGCATTACCCATCTCAAAAATAGTCCTGGTAGTGGGATCATAAAATTTATACCCCCTTGACCTCTCAGAGTATCCTACAAAATAGCTACTAACTGTTCTTGAGTCCAGTTTCTTTTCATTTGGCCTATAAGGCCTTGCCTCAGCTGGACAACCCCAAACATGGAAATGATTTATACTGGGTTTCTTTCCAGTCCAAATTTCATAAGGGGTTTTAGTTGTAGCTTTAGTGGGAACTCTGTTAAGTATGTAAGCTGCAGTTTTCAGTGCCTCTCCCCAGAGTGAATCGGGTAAAGTAGTATGACAAATCATACTCCTAACCATGTCCTTCAATGTACGGTTTCGTCTCTCAGCAACACCATTCATGCTAGGAGTTCCTGACATGGTGTACTGAGGAACAATTCCACACTCCTCTAGGTATTTAGCAAATGGCCCTGGACGTTGTTCACCGGAACCATCATATCTTCTACCATAGTATTCACCACCACGGTCAGATCTAACGGTTTTTATTCTTTTGCCTAATTGATTTTCAACTTCGGCCTTATAAGATTTGAACACGTCTATTTATTGGGACTTTTCATGAATGATATAAAGGTAACCATAACGAGAGTAATCATCTATGAATGTGATAAAATATGTTTGGCCATTTCTACATGGTGTAGGGAATGGTCCACAAATGTCCGTATATATCAATTCTAATAGATCTGAAGCTCTCTCGGCACCTAATCTCTGTTTGTTCGTTTGTTTTCCCTTAACGCACTCAACACAAATATCAGAATTTGAGGAGTCAAGAGAATCAAGAATTCCATCTGACACAAGTCTCTGAATTCTTTCTTTAGAAATATGTCCTAGACGCTTGTGCCAAAGTGAAAACGAATTCTCATTGGTTAATTTTCTTTTAGTACCACGAGTACTTACATGCAAGGTTTCATTATATGAGGTATTTACATCAAGTGAATATAGATTATCATAAACTGATAAAAGACCAGTGCCAATAAGTTTTGAATCTTGAAATAGACTGAACTGGCTATTTCCAAATGAACAAGAATAACCAAATTTGTCCAATGCAGAAATAGAAATTAAATTCCACCTAAATGACGGCACAACAAATGTCTCTTTCAAATTCAAATAAAAACCAGTCTTTAATAATAATCTAAAAACACCGATAGCCTCAACTTCAACCCGCTTTCCATCACCGACATAGATGTATCTTTCACCATCAATTGGTTTTCGGTAGCTCAGGCAACCCTGCATAGATACACTTATGTGAGTAGTAGCACCGGAATCTACCCACCAAGTGTCTTTTGGTACCGGAATCAAATTAACCTCAGAACAAACAAGAGCAAGAGACATACCCTTTTTCGCACGCCAGACGTGGTACTTAGTGCAGTTCTTTTTCTTGTGACTAGTCCTTTTGCAAAAGAAGCATCCAGATTCCTTAGTTTCTTCCTTAGTTTCCTTAGGATGCTTCTTGGGAGGCCCTGAATTTGCACCTTCCTTAATTTTCCTTTTCTTGCTGCCCTTAGAGGTAGACGCCAAATGAGCACTTTCTGTCTTATCTTGCTTTATTCTCTCTTCCTCTTGAACACAATGAGAAATGAGCTCATTGAGAGACCATTTCTCCTTAATGCAGTTGTAACTGACTTTAAATTGATTAAATTGAGAAGGAAGAGAGATCAAAACTAAATACACAAGCAATTCCTCAGGTAAAATAAGCTTTAGTGCACTTAGTTTTGAAGCAATGTGAGACATTTCCAAAATGCACTCCCTTATGTTCCCTTTGCCTTTATACTTCATGGAAACAAGAGTGCTCAAAAGAGTACTAGTTTCCGCCTTTTCGTTTTTAGTAAAACGCTTTTCAAGTTCGGCAAGGAACGATTTGGCATCAGCCTCATCAGACATTGTGCCCCTGAATGATTCTGGAATTGCACGTTTCATGATCATTAGACTCATGCGGTTTGAGCGTTCCCACCTCTCCATCTCCCTCTTTTCATCAAGGGTAGATGTGTCCTTAAGAGCGGCGGGTTTCTCAGTCCGAAGTGCAAGGTCTAGATCTATGCAACCGAGAACGATCATAACGTTCTCTTTCCATTCCTTAAAATTCGTGTCGTTAAGCACTGGGATGCTATTAATATTAGCAGATATTGTAGCAGCAAAATTATTGACTGAAAGAGAACAAAAAAAAATATATAAATGATATGCTCTATGTACTGAAATTAATTTGATAATTGATTTTAAATTTAAATATTAGCAATCCCCATCTCAAGATACCTAGCGCAACATCTAATCTTGTCTTTGGACATAAATTAGACTTGCAAGTGGTACTCTTGGTGTAATAATAAAATTTCGATAATAAAATCATGTCAAATATTAAGCCTTTCTTTGGACCGACTTAATATTCACATGAAAACCTCATAATTATCACAAATTTTATTATCACAAATGTACTTAAATTTCGGCCAAATAATAACCTTCCTTTGGGTCGATTATTATCCGCATAAAATAAGAAAGTACACAATCATCTTAATATATGAATTAATTAATTTCAACAAGAGAGACTACTTTGGCAGCATGTTGTGTCAATTAATCAACCCAAATATTAGACATGCTAATATTAAATCAACAATCTGAAAATAAAATTGGGCGAATTTTTCTGAATCACATGTAAATGTGTTATGTATAACGATAATTTGTAAAACTCATACCCAATCGTTGTGCGATCATAAAATAGGGTTTGACACACAATACATATTTTTCAAGCCACAAATTACAACGACCAAAAATAATATATTCCAGTAATGCAAAATCATGCATTTTTAATAAAACTGATATTGGCCGTAATTACATATAAGTATTTAATTACCAAAACTGATAATAATTACATATATGTACTTAATTATCAAAGTCATATGATTTAATTATTGTGGTTAAACATATAATATTCCGCAACTTCTTAAATTACCGAAGAACTAAAACCATTACAAAACCCATGCATCCTAAAACGTTCCAGCGAATAGTGATTAGGAAAGTTATTCCTTCCCTAGGTTTTGTAGCAGCCGCATTACGGCCAATACAAAAAATTGAATTCATATCCAAATTCAATACTCAAAACAGCATAAGTCTGTAGATACAAAATTCAAAAAAACATACTTTGATCCTCAATTCAGAATGATTGCCTAGTGGACTGACAATTCAAAACCACACTTTGATCCTTAATTGAATTGATATTAAATTGATCATTGTATTGTACGCAAAAAATCGATCGACCATCATCATATGCAAAAAAATGAATCATATACGATAATACGATATAATTTATGATGTCTACTAATCTGACATCAATTGTACGATTAAATTCCAAGAGCGACATCATTTAATTATACATAATTATATAACGATAGATCAAGATCTAGAAATATCTGGATCTATGATACTGATTCCAAATAATTCAATATGAAGGAGTCTCTGATACCAATTGTTAGAATAAATCCGATAATACTTTAATCTTCATATTGAAATTATCTAGAGAAATTAACTGAGCGGAAGCGTACCTGACTCCATGGGAGATGATCTTTAGGGATCCAGGAGACGGAGGCTAGGGTTTGCGTCTTCTAGTTGATACACACCCTCGGGATTATCTCTCTAGCGATGGGATGCAGAAAGACGGAATGACGTGTTCAACTAGGGACCATAACCCCTTATTTATAGAGAGTGCTTAACCCTAATCAGCCCATCATTGATTAGGTCAAGCCCATGAGTCTCTACACATTTGGGTCATATACCTTATTATATAACTTATTAGCCCACTTAAATTAATATCCATAGGACCACTAATTTTTGGGCCTAAATATAAGATAGCATATAATATACAATCAAACCCGATAAATAATATATTGTGAATATTACATTCAATATAAGTCCAATAATCTAACATCACAATCATACATTCTCACTTTATTTTCACTTTCTTAAACTCCGATCGAAGTCAAACCGGAAAGAATTTTCCGGGACAGAGGGAGTTTTTGATAATGTCAATCATCAAACTTAAATGTTTCTTAAATGTCTCAATAATCAAATCGCTCTCTCATGTCTCAATTTTACATTATTCAACACATTTCAATCTAAAGTCAAACCTATGAACGAGTAAAAATCAAATTAGTCAACGAACGCATGCCTTTGAAATTACAGCTTTCACCCTTCGCCATTTATTTAAGGCATTTTTTCCTATCAGTTGACACCAAGCGTCTTTCTACGTGCTGCGAGCTTTCAGGCTGAAATTCCTTCTTCTGAAAAGCCAATTGATATTTCTCTGGGAAAGGAGAAAACAAAGAAATGTTGTGAGTTTATTATGTTTTCTTCTTGTTCGACGTTTATATACTTTATATAATTATATAGTCTTTTGTACGTTTTTATATTAATTCGTGTTTTAATTGTGATCCACACTTAATTCTTCTTAATTATCAGAAGCATGTTTCAGATGAAGCCTTCTCACACTGACCCGGATACTCAATCTTCCGAAAAGGAATCAAAGGTAATAATGGGAGGCCATAATATAATTATTGTACAAGAATCAAAATGAATTATGTAAAACAGTGGTTTTTAAGCATTTCTAATTCAGCTCTCTCATTTCACCAACTAATTAATATAGGTGGATAATAAGGTTCACAATATTTTAAGAGAGTAAATAAAGTTGTGTTTCAAAAGTTAAAATTTTGCTCAAATCATTCTCATCTCTATGTTTATTTCCGTTTTTAAGATCTAGTTTGTCTGATTTTTAATTAGATTTGCTTTGAAACTTTACTAACATAATTAATTTGATCTCGTTCTATATATAATTGATGTGATGAGACTTTATCATATAATTGTTTCTGGATTTATCTGAACACTTAATCTTACTTAATTTGTAATAGTATAAATCGGCTTTTATAAATTATTTTATACTATAATCAAACAAATTAGGAATGGAAGAGTAAAAGTGGTTTATCATGATGATCATGACTATTAATTGTTGTGCTTCAACTTTAAAAACTTTAAAAATCAACCTGATAAAAGGAGTAGCTCAAAATTTATATGTTGGTTTGTATGTTTATTCGCAACCTATGTGTGCCTGAATGAATACCCTTCAAAGCTATATATGTTGGTTTTTATTCGTATATGTAACCGGTGTGAGACGGTTCAATACATCATCACAAGATGGTGGCTAGTTGGAGGTCGATCTTGCAGTGTGTGTAGAGATGGCAATGGACGGGAATAAGGATGGCAATGGGAGCGGGGGCCTGTGGGGAACTGCCCCGTGGGGGGAGTTGGGGCAGGTGGTGGGGTGGGGCGGGTATGGGGATGGGGGAATTATTTCCTCCCCGTTTAAATATGGGGCGGGTGATGGGTTATGCACCCCCCGCACCGTCCCCGCCTCGTCCCCCGTATATATACACATATCAATAATTAATAATAATCACAATAATAATACTAATAATAATAAGGGTATTTTACAAAAATATTACTAAAATAAAATTTATTTTACACAAATATGACTATTAGTTACTACAATGTAGTGTCATAGTAACCTAAGTTTAAAAATACTATAATTTCATTACTGCTCTAGACACTAGTCACATTTTTGTAAAATAGTCTTCATTTTAGTCATAAATAAGTAATTACTAATACGAAGTCATCATTAAAATAGCATAGTACGTGGCCCGGTGGGTTTAATTGTTTCCTATCTAATGGTTGTTCACAATGGGTCTATCTAATTCTTGTTTAATAGCTCAGCTATCTTGTAAAATTGGTTATCAAAATCATATAAAGTAAAATGAATTTGAGAAAGTTATAAAGTGATATTAGCTTAAACGCCTCAGACACAGTGTCAATGTTTTCTTCTTTTACTATTATGATGTATTAATTCTTTTCTTATGAATGTCATCTTTATGATTGTAGTTAGGACTCTTAAAAATCTGGTGACCATAGGTCGTCCTAGATGCTATCAAATGACCATGGTTGATTGAATGAAGGGAGAAAATAATATAGAGTTAATCAATACTAATGAAGTCTTTGATAAAATGACTAAATCAAAACGTGTGTAATCTATAATGTGTTCTAGATTTGAAATGAGATGTAAGATTACATTGACACTTAGAAACTAAAAGGTTTGCTACATACTAGAAATGTTGTTTGATTTTTGAAAAACTGTCTGAATCTAAAATAGTGTTAATTTTTTACGAATATTTCCCCAGTTGGGTACCCGTGGGTCAAGCGGGTCAGAGTGGGGATGGGGCGGGTCGAATAGTAGTGGGAGATATATGGGGCGGTGGTGGGGGCGATATTTTAGACACGGGACGGGGATGGGAGTGAACCCCCGCCCCAACCCCGCCCCATTGCCATCCCTAGGTGGGAAGGGGGCGGTTACACATATAACCGTACTGGCCGACGCAGAATTGGGTAACTGCGAGTATTAATGTCCTTAAAGGGGTCATTAACCTTTTAACATAAAACTCAATATTTTTCCAAAAAGTGCTAGAGAAGAAACTTGTAGGAACATCATGTCATCAAATTTGTAATGCATCAACTAACCATTAGAACATCATCAATACTACAATGTGTTGGAGTTCAGGGTATATACAACATATGCAAGTTAAGGTGGTACTTATCTAACATCCATCAAAGTTTGGGATATTTACACTCCGTATCATTTTTCTCAATAAAAAAGTGTGATAAATCTCTTTAGTTACTCAATGCAGATTAGAGAATTGAGGGCCTTTCTTGAGCCATTAACGGGACGCAGCTTGAAGTACTGCACTGATGCTTGTTTAAGGCGATGTTTGGAGGCTCGAAATTGGAATGTTGAGAAAGCCAAGAAAATGTTGGACGAAACGCTCAAGTGGAGATTAATGTATAAACCAGAAGAAATACGGTGGGTGAGTAATGTACTTTGTGATTGTTTTTCGATTTTTTAAATTGATTTCAAAGAAAATGCTTATTACTAGTAATAAATAGTCTTTGACAAAGAGAAATGATTTCGGAATAGTAAAAATTGGTATTACTCCCTCCGTTCCTAAATATTCTTCCCGATTTGACTTGGCACGCTTATTAAGAAAGTGAAATAAAGTAAAAATGTATGATTTTTGTGTAAGAAAAAGGTAAAATGAATGTGAGTCACACAAATCGTCCAAAATGGAAAAGTGGGAAGTATTTTTGGGAACAGTCCAAAAAGGAAAGTGAGAAGTATTTTTGGAAACAATAAAAGCAAATCAGTATTTTTGGGAACAATAAAAACAAAAAATAACATTCATCCACTAGAAGCAATAAAAGCAAAAGCTTGTTCTGCGCGACCTATTTGAACCCCACATTAGACCAAATCAAATTCTATCATACTTGATCAAGATTAAATGACTAAGATCAGATGATATCGCTATATCAAATCAGACAGAACTTATAACATAGTACGATATACACAAAATCAAACCTTATAGGATCATACCAAAACACATTTAAAACCTATACTCCCTTCGTGCCTTTTTAGTTAAGTCAATTTCGACTTTTCCCATCAACGATAATAAACTTTAGTTAATCATCTTAAATAGTATATGATGGAGTATATGGCCCGGGAACCCCCGGCCCACAGACTCCTACTACTCCAGCAAAGGCCCAACAGGCCCAACAGGCCCAAATCACAGTGCCCAGAGTACCAAGCAGTCCGCACAACGCACAGGGGCTCCTTCGGCCCCCTGGCCGAAGGCTCCAAATTATCACAGAGCGGGTTTCTCAAGCAAACTAAGAAACTGGGAGAAAACGGCGAAAACAGTAGCCCTCGGTACTGTGAGCCCTCGGCACCAAGGTGCCCTCGGTTGGAGGAGTCTTCGGCTACTGCTCTTTGGCCGAAGGCATCTCACTCGACAAGATATCCGCCTCACATGCGTACAGATCACCGTACTCTGCACAGACGTCCCATCCAACAGCCGCATTAAATGCGGCCACATGCGGCTGCCAGCGCCAACCAGTTGAGGCGACCCCTCGGCCAATGGGCGCTTGACACGTGTCCCTGCCCGGCATTTATTGCTACTATAAATAGCACCCCATTTCCCCATTTGTAACCACGCTGAAAAGTCATAACACTCTGAATACACTCTCTCTCTACATTTAGTTACTTGCTCTGACTTCTCTCTAGATTATTCCCGGTAATAACCCTTCGGATATATACCCCCGGGTAGACTATCCATCATTTGGTGCTCTCGTTGAGAGGTTGAACAATCGAGTAAGAAACCCTCCCCCTCGACCAAACACACAAACACTAGCCCTCTATCAAAATGGTGAGGACAACACGTGCCAACTCAAAGAACGTAGAAGACAAGAACCTGGCCCTCGGCGACGTCAACGCCCCCGAAGCCTCTCACAGGGCTCCCGAGGGCGGTGTCCTCGCTGGGCTGGAACAGGCGGCTGTCGACCTACGCCTTCAGATCCAACAAAACGCCCCCGATGCCCGCCTCGGCATCGAGGCCAAGAAGAAAAACCGGAGCGATGACCAAGTCAGCCCTCCGGTTCTCACCATCGACGTACAATCGGCGCTCTCCGCCTTCATCCAAACGCTCACCCAGAACCCGGGTGCCTTCGGCACCCTGGCTCCAGCTCAACCTCAGATCGGGGAAAATATCATACTTCCCCCTCTGCCACACCCCTTCGGAAATCCCATCCCTCGGGTGAGAAACGACGAAGGGGTGGTGGCCCAAGAAACATCCTCCCAGGAAGTTCAGTCCCGGGACCGCCATAATGACAACAGGGAGAGGCCCCATACTTCCGCCCTCAACCGGCTCGGAGGAGGGCCAGACCGCCGAGGGGTCCAAGACCGCCTCGGGGGGAAAGCACTCCAAAGGCCCCAGGAAAGCGGGGGCTCTGTTTCGAGGGCAGACGAGGAGCGTCCCCCTCGGGACTAAGGCAAGGCACCCCTTCATGCCGATGATGCTCGGCACCAAATCAACCAGGCCCACTCGGCCCGGGTTCGTTCGCAGGGGGCGGAAACCCTCCCAAGGGACCCCCGGGACGAGATTATTGCGGCCCTCCAGCGCCGGCTTGACGAAATGGAGTCCAACAAAGCTCACGCCACTACCTCCACCCCTCACTCAGATCTCAAATACGAGGCCATGATGGCCAAGATGGAGGAGTTACAGAAGAAGGTGGCCGAGGGCTCCGGGGAACCCGTCATCCAACTCCGGACTCAGACGCCATTTACCCCAAGGGTATTGGCGGCCCGGATCCCGGAGAAATACCGAGGGCAACACATACAGCCCTACAGCGGGAAAACGGACCCCCAGGAACATTACAGCAAGTACCAGAACAGCATGATGATGGTGGGGGCGTCAGACGAATATTTGTGTCGTTGGTTCCTCTCCACCTTAGAGGGACCAGCATACGAATGGTTCAACAGGCTGCCCGAGGGCTGTATTGATTCATGGCAAGAACTCGCCCAGCGGTTCTTGACACAATTTGCCGGGAGGCGTCGCACAAGGAAGCACTTCTCCCACCTCCTAACAATACGCCAGAAGAAGGATGAGACCCTTCGGGATTTCCTGGAGCGTTGGAGGACGGAGGCCGACAAGGTCGACGGTGCTGATGACGGGACCCTCCTGGCCCTCCTACAAACCGTCCTCCGCACCGGCAACTTTTCAAGGAGCCTCATCATTGAACCCCCCCCCCCCCCCGCGACTACATAAGGGCCTTGCAGCGGGGGGGGCCGATATGCTGAGGCCGGGGAGGTGGAGAAGTATCACCAGCATCCGGACCAGCAGCCCCCGAGGGCTGACAACAAGCGCAACCGAGGGCCGGGGGCTCCTCCAAATCGCCCCAAGGCTTCGGGACCCTCTGATGACCGCCCTCGGCAAGGCCAAGCCAAGCCCGGGGGAGGTTATAGGAGCAACCCTAAGACTTGGGCCCAGCCCATTCTCCTGGACCACCCTCGGACCCCATTGACGCACCCCGTCAGCATCATCCTCGATTTTGCAGAGGAGAGGGGCCTCGTTGAGCGTGATTCTCGCGCACCCCCGGAGGTACACGCTATCAACCCTCAGTTCCCCTACTGTCGCTTCCATCGACACCAGGGGCACAGGACCGATGACTGCCATCAACTGAAGACGGCCATCGAGAGATTAATACAGGCAGGGCACCTGTCCCAGTTTGTCCAGAGCCCTCGGCAGGAGGGACCTTCTCATCAGGGACCCCCCCGAGGGCACCATACGAAGGTAAATGCCTGGGTGAATCCGAACACCATCCCTCTCGGCAAAAAGAGGGAGATCGGAAACTTGGAAGAAGAGGAGGAGGAATACCCCCACTACCAGGAGAAGAAACGCCACATCCTCATGATCACCGGTGGCAATACAGGGGGCGATTCCACCAGCCAACGAAAGAAGTGGGCTCAATCACTTTACGTGGGGGAAGTCACTCATATGCCCCCGGTAAAGCGATTGAGGGAGGAACCCATCACCTTTACCAACGCAGATCTCCCTCCTACTTCTTCTCCTCACAGGGATGCCTTGGTGATTCGGACGGAGATAAACGACACCATTATTCACCGAACTTACATTGACACGGGCAGCTCCGTCAATGTAATGTACCTCAGCACCTTCAGAGAGCTGCATCTGGAGAGGGGGTCCCTTCGGCCAATTAAGACCCCTCTTGCCGGCTTCACCGGCGATACTATTGATTCCGAGGGGGTAATAACCCTCCCGGTGATCTTCGGCGACGGGATCCATAGAGCCCAGCTCGAAGTGGAGTTCGTCGTCGTCAACATTGACTGCGCTCACAACATCATCCTCGGCCGGCCAGCCCTCGAGGACCTCGAAGCCATCATCTCCATGAGGCATCTCTGCCTCAAGTTTCCCGCCGAAGGGGGCATTGGCTACTCCCGGGGGAATCAAAAAATTGCCCGCGCCTGCTATCTTCAGGTCACTAAGAAGGTAAGCAAGACATAATTCCGTGTTGACACCATCACCGGAGCCGTCGACGAAGAGGAAAGAAGGCCGAGGGCTGAACCGGCCGAGGACGTAGAAGACTTTGCGCTCGATCCGGCCCAGCCGGAGAGAGTCGTGAAGATTGGAGCCCAGCTCCCTGAAGATTTGAAGACCGGTATCACCGACGCCCTCCGCGCCTACTCCACTGTCATTGCATGGGGGCCGGAGGACATGTCGGGAATCAGCCGAAGGGTCATCACCCACCGCCTCTCGGTGGACCCTTCGGCAAAAGCAGTACAGCAGCGAAGGAGACCCCTCTCCGCCGAGAGGAGGGAATTCGTGAAGAAGGAGGTCGCCATGCTCCTCTCAATCAAGCACATCAAGGAGGTGAAATACCCCTCATGGCTAGCAAATGTAGTCCTCGCCCAGAAGCCCCCTACCTTCCGCATGTGCGTGGACTACACCGATCTCAACAAAGCATGCCCCATGGATCCATTCCCTCTACCAAACATTGATCAATTGGTGGATGAGACCGCGGGGTGTGAAATCATGTCCTTCCTCGATGCCTTCCGAGGGTACCATCAAATATTCATGCACGAGAAGGACGCCGAAAAAACTGCCTTCATGACTCCCGAGGGCATCTTCTGCTACCTAGTGATGGCCTTCGGCCTAAAGAACTCGGGGGCCACTTACACCCGGATGGTGGCCCGGGTCTTTCAAGCCGTCCTAGGGCGCACCATGGAGGCCTATGTCGACGACATGATCGTCAAGAGCAAGCAATCTTCCAGAAATGCTGACGACCTCCGGGAAATCTTCGCCATCATGCAAAAATTCAACCTTCGGCTAAACCCGAAGAAGTGCACCTTCGGCGTCCAAGGGGGCAAATTCTTAGGCTACATGGTGAGCCGGAGGGGTATTGAGGCCAACCCCGAGAAGATCCAGGCCATCATCAATATGGAGCCCCCACGCAATGTGAA